TATCTGATTTCAAAACTTCCTGTAACTACAGTAACCAAGACAATGTGGTATTGGCATTTAGGAGAGGCACACAGATCAATGAGATAGAACAGAGTCAAGAAACAGACACACAAATATAGTATCAATCGATTATTTTAGTATCGTTCATTTAAAATTTTTTCAACAAAGGTGCCACAGTAATTCGAATGAGAAAAGGTTAACATATGCAACCAATGGTGCTAGAATAACTGGATATCCACAACAAAAGAAAAAATAACCTTGAGCCTTACTTTACACCACACATAAACACCACACATAAACTGTAACTCAAAATGGATCACAGAATTAAATGTAAAAGTCAATTTCTAAAGGAAAACAAGAGAAAATCTTCAGGATCTTGGGGGAGGTAAAGATTTCTTGGAACATAGTAAGCACTGACTACTAAGAAAAAAAATCGAAAATTGCTTCCTCAAAATTCTGCTCTTTGAAAGATAGCACTGGGGCCGGCGCTGTGGTATAGCTGGTAAAGGCGCCGCCTGCAGTGCCAGCATCCCATATGGGTGCCGGTTTGAGTCCTGGCTGCTCCACTTCTTTTTTTTTTTTTTTTTTTTTTTTTTTTTGACAGGCAGAGTGGACAGTGAGAGAGAGACAGAGAGAAAGGTCTTCCTTTGCCGTTGGTTCACCCTCCAATGGCCGCCGCGGCCAGCTTGCTGCGGCCGGCGCACCGCGCTGATCCGATGGCAGGAGCCAGGAGCCAGGTGCTTTTTCCTGGTCTCCCATGGGGTGCAGGGCCCAAGCACCTGGGCCATCCTCCACTGCACACCCTGGCCACAGCAGAGAGCTGGCCTGGAAGAGGGGCAACCGGGACAGAATCCGGCGCCCCGACCGGGACTAGAACCCGGTGTGCCGGCGCCGCTAGGCGGAGGATTAGCCTAGTGAGCCGCGGCGCCGGCCCTGGCTGCTCCACTTCTGATCCAACTCTCTGCTGTGGCCTGGGAAAGCAGTAAAAGATGACCCAAATCCTTGGGTCCCTGCACCCGTGTGGGAGACCCAGAAGAAGCTTCTGGCTCCTGGCTTCAGATCGGCACAGCTCTGGCCATTGCGGCCAACTGGTAAGTGAACTAGTGGAAGAAAGACCTCTCTCTCTCTCTCTCTCTCTGCCTCTCCTTCTCTGTGTAACTCAAATAAATAAATAAATCTTTTAATAAAAAAGAGAAAACATCAGGAGAGAGAGAGAGAGAGGAGAGAGAGACAGGAAAAGAGGAAGGAGAGAAGAGCAAAACCATTAAGAAAATGAAAAGCCAAGTCACTAACCAGGACAAAATATGTGCAATACATACATCTGACAAAAGACTTGTATCTAGAATATATAAAGAATTCAAGACAGCTCACTAATACGACAGACAGCCCATGGGCATATGATTTGAACAGACACTGCACAAAAGAAGATAACAAACAAGCACTGAAAAGATGTTCCACACCATTAGTCATCAGGGCAATGCAAATTAAAACCATAATGAAATGTCATAATACACCCACCGTAACGGCTAACACTAAAACAACTGACATTGCCTGTCATTGCGAAGAATCGCTGATGGGGCTGTGAAATGGAACAATCACTTTGAAAACTTTTTAGCAGTTTAAGGAAATCTTAACCTCTCTACGACCCAGTGACTCTCCTGGATATTTACACAAGAGAAATGAAAACAGACATCTACAGAAAGACTTGTATGAGAATTTTCATTTGCATCTCCAAAGTGGAAAGAATTGGTGACTACATAGACTGTGGTATATCATGCCATGGAATACTACTGAGTAATAACGCGGACAACACAGTGACATGAACGGATCGCAAAGAAGCTGGACCCAACAGAAAACCAACTGTGACTCCAGTTAGGAGATTCTAGCAGAGCCAAAAGAATATATGATGACAGAAAGAAGAAGAAATGCCTGTGGCTGGGGATGAGACAGTTGAGGTTTTCTATGAAAAGCATGAGGGAAATTCAGGGTGATGGAAATATTCTTATTTATGGTGACTGATTTACATGTATTGATATATATATATATATATGGTGATTGATAGATGTCAAAACACACTCAACCATCTCTTTAAAAATGGATGCATTTTGTTGTAGGAGACCTGTATTGTGTTGCCTGTTCCTGGTTCCTGATTCTGTCTGGTCAAGCCCAGGCCATGGTGGGTATTTGTGGAGTGAACCAATGGATGGTAGCACTCTGTTTCTCTCTCACACACTCTCAAATAAATAAAAGCTTTTGGGGCCGGCACCGCGGCTCACTAGGCTAATCCTCCGCCTTGCGGCGCTGGCACACCGGGTTCTAGTCCCGGTCGGGGCGCCGGATTCTGTCCCGGTTGCCCCTCTTCCAGGCCAGCTCTCTGCTGTGGCCCAGAAGTGCAGTGGAGGATGGCCCAAGTCCTTGGGCCCTGCACCCCATGGGAGACCAGGAAAAGCACCTGGCTCCTGGCTCCTGCCATCGGATCAGTGCGGTGCGCCGGCCGCAGCGCGCTGGCCGCGGCGGCCATTGGAGGGTGAACCAATGGCAAAGGAAGACCTTTCTCTCTGTTTCTCTCTCTCACTGTCCACTCTGCCTGTCAAAAAAAAAAAAAAAAAATTAACAAAAAGTAACGCTTTTACGCTTTTTGGTGCCGGCGCCGTGGCTAACTTGGTTAATCCTCTGCCTGCGGCACTGGCATCCCATATGGGCGCTGGGTTCTAGTCCCGATTGCTCCTCTTCCAGTCCAGCTCTCTGCTGTGGCCCGGGAAGGCAGTGGAGGATGGTCCAAGTGCTTGGGCCCTGCACCCGCATGGGAGACCAGAAGGAAGCTCCTGGCTTCAGATCAGCGTAGTGCTGCCGTTGCAGCCATTTGAGGAGTGAACCAACGGAAGGAAGACCTCTCTCTCTCTCTCTCTCTCTTTCACTATGACTCTACCTGTCAAATAAAAAAAACTACAGGGTCGGCGCCGCGGCTCACTAGGCTAATCCTCCGCCTAGCGGCGCCAGCACACCGGGTTCTAGTCCCGGTCGGGGCGCTGGATTCTGTCCCGGTTGCCCCTCTTCCAGGCCAGCTCTCTGCTGTGGCCAGGGAGTGCAGTGGAGGATGGCCCAGGTGCTTGGGCCCTGCACCCCATGGGAGACCAGGAAAAGCACCTGGCTCCTGGCTCCTGCCATCGGATCATGCGGTGCGCCGGCCGCAGCGCGCTGGCCGCGGCGGCCATTGGAGGGTGAACCAACGGCAAAGGAAGACCTTTCTCTCTGTCTCTCTCTCTCTCTCACTGTCCACTCTGCCTGTCAAAAAAAAAAAAATTACAAATAAATTAAAGCTTTAAAACTTGAGAAGCACAGCAGTGTAAGCTGTTCAACAAAGAATTATCTCCCTTGCAAAGCAGTGAATTCTACATTGCTGTTGCAGGAGAGGCCGAATGTCATTGAGTTAGGGTGACTATACTTGGCGTGGGAGGTGGGACTGTATCATCTCTTGGAGCTGTTCCAACTTTAACACTTTGAAACTACTACGCCATGTTAAATGTTATTCTAGGCAGGGTATTTAGCCTACCAATTAAGGTGTCCACATCCCACATCAAAGTGCCTGGGTTCAGTACCCGGCTCAGGCTCCTGACCCCAGCTTCCTGATAATGCAGAACATGGGAGGTGATGGCTCAAGCAGTTGGGTCCCTCTCACCCACATGGGAAACCCAGACTGAGTTCCCAGCTCCCAGCTTTGGCGCAGCCCAGCCCCAGCCACTGCAGGCATTTGGAGAGTGAAACAGTGGGTGGGAGCTCTTTATCTGTTTCTTTCTTTCTGCCTCTCAAGTAAAGAAATAGGTAGATTTATTTTGGAAAAACAAATGTTGTGCTACATACGTCCATATTTCTTACAATAAGATCTGAAATAAATCAAGTTATAAGAGTCCAGCATAGGGGCTGGCTAGCGCTTTGTCATAGTAGGTTAAGCCTCCGGCTACAGCACTGGCATGTCCTATCCTGGCTACTCCTCTTCCAATCCAGCTCTCTACTAATGGCCTGAGAAGGCAGTAGAAAATGGCCCAAGCACTTGGGCCCTTGCACCCACATGGGAGACATGGAAGAAGTTATTGGCTCCTGGCTTTGGACCAGCCCAGTTCCAGCCATTGCAGCTATTAGGGGAGTGAACCAGCAGATGGAAGACCTCTCTGTCTGCAACTCTGCCTCTCAAGTAAATAAATCTTTAAAAAAAAAAAAAGATGCCAGCAAAATTTGTTGTATTTTTTAGAAACTATCAAAATGATGGAAGCTGTTGGTTCTGCTATGTATATTAATTATATTAGGTGTATTTTTATATCGATCTTGTGCACTTATAATATGTAGCATTTTCTGCATGTACAGATTAAAGACAGAAAAATGAAGGTGGATATTGTGGCACAGAGGGTTAAGCTGTGGCCCATGCCCATATCCCTTATCACAGGGCTGGGAGTCCTGGCTGCCCTACTTTCAATCCAAACTTCCTGCTAATGTACCTGGGAGGAAGTAGATGATGACCCAAATACTTGGGTTCCTGCCTCCTGTGTTCAGCCTAAACCTACTCTGGCTGCTGTGGAAATTTGGAGAGTTAACCAGAGAATGGGGTCTAGCATCGTGACATAGTGGGTAAAGCTGCAGTTTATGATGCTGGCATCCCATACAAGTGCCAGTTCGAGTGCCGGCTGCTCCATTACTGATCCAGCTCCCTGCTAATGACCTGAGAAATCAGTGGAAAATGATCCAAGTCCTTGGGCATCTGCACCCACATGGGACACCCAGAAGAAGCTACTGGCTCCCAGCCCTGGCCTAGCCTTAGCCATTAGGGCTGTTTGGGGAGTGAACCAGCAGATGGAAGATCTCTCCTTCTCTCTCTGTATATATATATACATATACATATATAACTGTGCCTTTCAAATAAATAAAAAGAGAAATCCTAAAAAAAACAAAACAAAACAAAAAAAAAACCAGCAAATGGAAGATCCCCCCCCCCATCATTGCTTTACCTTTCAAATAAAATAAATAAATCCTTGATTTCTTCCTCATAAAGAGGTATATAGGTCAAAGGTCTGGTTAGAGGTAGATGATTTGTCAGCTGTATCTGGAAAAGAGGAGAAAGAACTTCATTCTGCTTCTGGGAAATTCTGTCAAAAACCAGGCAATTTGCCTCAATTACCCAGACATCTGCATTACTTCTCCAATTAGCTAATAGAGCTTCAGACTTAAAACAGCCAAAGGGAACTACGCTCGCCTCACAGCTGTAAAATAACAACGCTAACATACCAGTCACACTAGAATAGCAGTGCACAGCTCAACATCGGGATGGAGCAAGAATGGTAAAACACCATTTATCCCAAATGCTTAGGAATGAGTCACTGTGCTGGCACTATTTTCTAGGGAATGGGAACAACTTAAAGCAATAAAGTCCTTTGTGGCCACAGACTAAAAAAGTCATAGAAACACAGTTTCCTATCCTGAGCACTGTCACTTCTCATCACTCAAACACTGCAATGTCTTTATGACCAGAGTGTGCAGTCCCTTATGCTGTCCAAAGTTGCAAGTCAGCAAATGCAAAACTAAGACAAAATGATCTTGCTGGCATGTCAGTGCCAATTTTGCATAATGTCAAAATATGGTACTGGGGTTGCTATCAGGGCTTTACTAGTGAGATGGGTTAGCGGGTGTTGTGGTTCAGTGGGTTAAGGTGCAGCCTGTGATGCCAGCTCTGATTCCAGATCAGAGCACTGGTTTGAGCCCTAGCTGTTCCATTTCTGATCCAGCCTCTTGCTAATGTGCCTGGGAAGGCAGCAGGTGATAGCCTATGGACTTGGGTCTCTCCCATCCCCATGGGAGACCCAGATGGAGTTCCTGGGCTCCTGGCTTCAGTCTGGCCTAGACCTGGCTATTGCAACCATTTGAGGAATGAACCAGTGGATGGCGGATTCATTCTCTTCCTCTCCCTCTGTCTTTCAATTAAGTTTTTAAAAGAAGAAATGAGATGTGGTCAGCATCCCTTTAGCTGTGTCTCAGATGCCACTCCACCTAAGAGAGGGTCAGAGAGCATAACTGAGTCTCTTCAGGTAACAGGTCAGGGAAGAGGGCCCTGGCTCAAATTACAGAGACAGGAAGGGCTGGGAATCAGGCCTTGTACCTTCTCCTCATTAACCTTTTTCCTCTGTTAATCCCCTTTTTCTTGTTTTTCATAACATTTCCCCGCCCCCAGCCCCATTCTAAAATTATTCCATCAGAGGCCTCTGGCAGCAGATGATCTAGCTCTGGGGGAAATGCCAACAACTAATAACCTGAGAAAAGATACCCAATCCTGTAAGTAACACTGAAAATTAGAGTCCGGGGTGGACACTGAGCCTAGTGGTAGATGTAGTTTTTATTATCGGCATATTTTATTTTTACAGTAAAAATCTGAAGCTCAAAGATTGAATATATTGTCCAGGGGCACACACAGGTAACAGATGGTGCAACTGAGATGTGAACCCAGGCTGTTACCAGAGCCCAACTCTGAACCACTAGACCAAACAATCTCCTTAAAAACAATAATAAATGTGGCTTTCACAGTTGCCAAGTAGCTGGACATTCCATGAACACAGGGTCCCCACAGCTTTCTACTCTTTCTCAGCATCAAGGCTGGGTCATTTGCCATTTTTCATCATATTTGCTTGCACCTTTTATTATATGTAAGAATCAGGAAGAAGAAAAATAGGTATTGGGTTTGAGTTTACATGAAAAGTGGAAAAATATAAGATGGTGTTCTACATGCTAAATTAATTTGATTTAATTACTCTACATTTTATATATGTATCAATACATTGCACTGTACCTTAAACACGTATACAATTATGGCTTTTCAATTTAAAAAGATTAATTTTTTAAAAATATTTTCTTCATTTGCTTGAGAGGTAGAGTTACAGACAGAGAGACAGGCAGAGAGAAGGGTGTTCAATCCATTGGTTCACTCACTAAATGGCTGCAACAGCCAGAGCTGAGCCGATCTGAAGCCAGGAGCCAGGGGCCAGGAGTTTCCTCCAGGTCTCCCACGTGGATGCAAGGGCCCAAGAGCTTGGGCCATCCTCTATTGCTTTCCCAGGCTACAGCAGAGAGCCAGATTGGAAGAAGAGCAGCTGGGACACAACTGGTGCCCATATGGGATGCCGGCACTGCAGGCGGAGGTTTAGCCTACTAGCCACAGTGCTGGCCCTGAGATCCTAATTTTTTTAAAGGAGGAAAACAGGGCAGGTGTTTGGCCTAGTAGTTTAGACACCCATATACCACAGCAGAGCATCTGAATTCAAAACCAGCTCTGGCCCCTAACTTCAGCTTCCTGCTAATGCAGACACAGAAACTAATAGCTCATGTGATGGTGTTCCTGCAACCCATAAGAAAGAGCTGGATTGAGTTCCCAGCTCCTGGCTCCAGCCCAGCCCCAGTCACTGCAGACATCTGGTGAGTAAACAAGCAGCTAAGTTTCTCTCCCCCTCCCCACTTTTGTCTCCTAAATAAATAAATTTTAAAAATCAAAGATTTAAAACATAATTTACCTTGTAAGGATGTTAGATAATGAATGGATATAGTCATTATATCCTCTTTAAAAGTAAACCCTGGGGCTGGCACTGTGACATAGAGGGTGGGGCTGCCGCCTACAGTGCCAGCATCCCATATGGGCACTGGTTAGAGTCCTGGGTGCTCCACTTCCAATCCAACTCTGCTGTAGCCTGGGAAAGCAGTAGAAGATGGCCCAAGTCCTTGGGCCCCTGCACCCTCATGGGAAGACCTGGAGGAAGCTCCTGGCTTCAGATTGGTGCAGCTCTGGCTGTTGCAGCCAATTGGGGAGTGAACCAGCAGATGGAAGACCTCTCTCTCTCTCTCTGCCTCTCTTTCTCTCTCTGTGTAACTCTGACTTTCAAATAAATAAATAAATAAACCTTAAAAAAAAGTATACCTTTGGAGCCAGTGCTGTAGCATAGTGGGTGAAGCTGCCGCCTGCAGTACCAGCATCCCATATAAGCAACGGTTGAAGTCTCAGCTGCTCCACTTCCTATACTAATTTTAGTTAGTATAGCTAACTATACTAGTTAACTATATATAGTTAATATAGCTCTCTGATATGGCTTGGGAAAGCAGTGGAAGATGGCCCAAGTGCTTGGGCCCCTGTACCCGCATGGGAGACTGGGAAGAAGCTCCTGGCTCCTGGCTTCAGATTGGCACAGCTCCGGTCATTGTGGCCATCTGGGGAGTGAACCAGCGGGTGGAAGACCTCTCTCTCTCTCTGCCTCTGCCTCTCTGTAATTCTCTCTTTCAAATAAATAAATAAATCTTTTTTTTAAAGTATACCCTTGTTTGATGAAACCTAAATGCAATTCATAACTCTCGGCATATCACAGAAAGAAGTGATTTACACTCTAGAACACCTAAATAACAGCTTATATCCAAAAGTACTTTAATATTTACAAACAGCTCAGGTTACTGATACCGGAATACTCAAATAACAAAACTCAGTACTGTAATTACTATTTCAAACATTATCTAATACTAAAAAACTCCATATTATTTGTGTCGACATAGTCATTAACAAGTTCTCAACTGTCAATCGGACTGCACTGATTTAACTCATTCATTTAATAAATATTTATTAACTCATATGTGATGTGCAAGGCTCTGGGAATTCTGACATGACTGAGATACGAGTTTGGCCTAATAAAGGGAACTAGAAAGCTATATAGGAAACCACAACATTAAGGATTCTATGGCAGAAGTGGCTAAGGGCACAAAGAAGGGAATGGGTGAGGTAAGGTGTGAGTTGAATTGTAGTCTCCAATGCAGCTATGTTAAATCCTAACTCCCAGTATCCATGAATGTGACCTCATTTGGAAATGGGGTCTTTGCAGATGGAATCAAGTTCATAAGGGGCCATACTGGATTAGTGTGGGTCTTAAATCCAATGACTGGTGCCCTTGGAAAGACAGATTTGGAGACATGATGACAGAGAGAGGGAAGATGGCCACATGAAGACAAAAGCAGAAATGGGAATGATGCAATGGTGAAGTGAGGAACGCTGTGGGCTGCTGGCAACCATCAGAAGCCAGGAAGAGGCAGAGAGGGGCCCTCCCCACCACCCTCAGAAAGAGCTGGCCCTGCCAACAACTTCATTTCAGACTTCTAGAATCCAAACTGTCAGAGAATAAATTTATGTTGTTTTAATCCTCCCTGTTGATGATACCTTGTTACAGCTGCCCTCGGAAAGGAATGCAGAAAGTTTTATAGGTGAGGTGATGCTAGGGTAGAAGTCTGAAAGACAAGGTTTTCATTAGGACACAAAGAGGAAAAGCATCTTAGGCAGAGAAAATAGCCTGAGCAAAGGCGCTGAGGCATACAACTGACTGGCATGTTGAGGCAGTAGACAGTCCCTTGTTCAGTACAGCTGGCTAGAGCATAGGGCACAGGAGAGACCAGGAGACAGGAGGCTGAGCACCTTCCTAGCTTTGTTAAAGGGTTTAGACCTGACCCCATAAGCACTAGGGGGAAAAGACAGAGATGATGTGGTATTCGACCAGCCTGGAGGAGAACAAGATCACAGGCTGTACGGGGAAAGCGCTGCGGCATATCGGGTAAAGCCGCCACCCGCAGTGCTGGCATCCCATTTGGGCACCAGTTCGAGTTCCGGCTGCTCCACTTCCCAGCCAGCTCTCTGCTATGGCCTGGGAAAGCAGCAGACGATGGCCCAAGTGCTGGGACCCCTGTACCTGCATGGGAGACCCAGAAGAAGCTCCAGGCTCCTGGCTTCAGATTGGTGCAGCACCGGCATTTACGGCCATCTGGGGAGTGAACCAGCAGATGGAAGACCTCTCTCTCTCTGCCTCTCTGTATCTCTGCTTTTCAAATAAATAAATCTTTAAAAAAAATACATGAGGCATGAAAGAAAAGACTAAATTAAATGACGAAAAGACTAAATTAAATGACAAAAAGACAAAACTTCTGTAAGGCAAAAAGTACAATAAGCAAAAGCAAAAGGCAAATGAAACATTTGTGAGAGAAGACAGTAATCTTCACAATATACACCAAGCTATGAAGAAATTGGCAAAAAAAAAAAAAAGGCAAAAGAAAACAGGACAAAGTGTAGTTCACAGGAAAAGAAGTAAGAATTTCCCTTAATCATATATCATATGAATGGATGCTTCACTTCACTTATAAACGCACACTAAAACCACATTTGCAATGCCGGCATCCATCCCATATCAGAGTGCCTATTCAAGTCCTGGCTGCTCTTTCTGGTCCAACTCCCTCCTATGCACCTGGGAAGGCAGTGGAAGATGGCCCAAGTGCTTGGGTTCCTGCCACCCACATGTAAGACCTAAATGGAGTTCCTGGCTCCTGGTTTTGGCCTGGCCCAGCCCTAGCTGTTGCAGTCATTTGGGAAGTGAACTAGCAGATGGAAGGTATCTCTCTGACACTCTGCCTTTCAAGTAAATAAATAAATAAATATGTTTTAAAAACCTGATGTATCATTTGCCCCTCTCAGCTCCTCAAAAATCCAAAATGTCATAATATTGCTAAGGCTGTTAGAAAACACTGCCAGTCACTGCACTCAAAATCATTTTAGGGATAAAAATTGATACAAGCCTTCAGAGGGCAAATTGGCAATGGCTCTCAAAATGAAAAACACATATAATCCTGGCCCAGCAGTGTCACTCCTGAGAATTTATCCTATAGGTTTATACGTACATGATCAAAACAACACATGTACCCGGCTCTTCACTGCAGCAGTGCGTGTGAAGGTAAAAAGTACAGAAAGTCCACCAGCAGGGTATAGAGGAAGTACACCCCACCCATAGGGTGGAATGTCATCTGTCAACAAGGATGAGTAAACACTGTTAATATGAGAAGATGGCTGTGATACCTAATCAAGTTAAAAAAAAAAAAAACAACCAAGTACAGAACAATATATAATCAGAAGCGCTGGAATGATGAACAAGGAACCCAGAACAGTGGTTGCCCATTGGGTGTGAGACGGTCTCCCAGAGACAGCACAGGGCTAGGAAGGAGACTTTACATGGCACACTTTGTATTTTTTGAGTGTTCGATTATATTCATATACTCAGAAATAAATCTGTTTAAAGTTTGTCAAACAAGTGAGGGAAATATTAATGATCAGTGTCACTTTTAGCCAGGCCAGGGCTGCAATTCAAGATTAAAATATCTTGGGAGCGCCTAGAGGAATCAAAGTCCATTTCCTTACTTAAATCAAGATTTGTGCACAATACAAGATGACACACTGACTTTCCGTCATGAAAAGTCAAGAGGTTGGGTTTTTTATTAGGAGAGAGACAAAGAGAAGGAGCAGGGACAGAAACCAGCCACTTTCAAGTGAACAGCTCTCCTAACACCGCTGTTAGTCTGGTGAATGGCTTGAACTTGGTGATGACGGCAAGAATGGAAAGGAAGGAACGCGTGCAAAGACGTGAATGGGAACCAAATCCACACTTTGATGTCTGATTGGCTGCGGAAGGCTAGAGGGAAATAAAGAAATGACAGGGCTTTTTAAAGTCTGGTGTCTGGCGGTATCACTAACATAAATCGGGAAGTCGGAAGGAAGAAGATTTAGAGGAAAAGCAATGACTTCAGTTTTAAGTATACTGCATTTGAGGGGAATGGCAGAGAAGGCTGCTGGAAATGCTGACGTAAAGCTCAAAGGGACAGTTGGACTTGAAGATGGAGATGCAGGAGGCAGCGACAAGGGAACAAGGCCCAGCGGAAACAAGGGCTGAGAGTCCGGAGGATCACCCTTGATTGTGCAGCAGGACGGGGAAGGGAAGCCCTAGAGGCAGGAAATGCCGGGGGACCAGCATGGTGGTGAGCAGGTTAAGCTGCTGCTGGTGACACAGGCATCCTATATCAGAACACGGGTTCAAGTCCTGGCTGCTCTGCTTCCGGTCAGCTTCCTGTTACATCCAGGAGGGCCGCAGAAGATGGCCCAAATACTTGGATCCCTGCCACCCACACGGGAGACTAGGATGGAGTTCCTGGCTCCTGGCTTTGGCCTGGCCCAGACCTGGCTGTTGAGGGTATTTGGAAAGTGAACCAGATGGAAGATCTCTCCATCTCTCCCTCTTTGTCTGTTACTGTGCCTTTCAAATAAATAAATAAATAAATCTTGAAAGAAAGGAATAAAAATAAAGGAAGGAAGGAAGGAGAGAAAATTGGGGAGAATTAGGAGAGCCTTGTGAATGACACGCTGCCAGGGCAGGGAATCTGAAGGGTTAAGGGACCGAGAGACAATGATAACAGCATCCATACATATCGTCTCGTTCGAGCCTCACACATCTCAAGCTCTCGGGGAGGTGGCCTCATTATCCCCATTTTACAGAAGACGGCATCGATCCAGACACAACCCCAAAGCTGTCTGATGTAACTGTGGGAGATCAGAATCCTGACAGTAGTTCTACCGCTAAATCAGCGATACACTGTCCATGGGCAAGCAGGCCGCTTTCCCCTCCAGGCCTCATTTCCTTCCTGCAAGTGAAGGGGGTGGTCCCAACCCTCTCCAGTTCATAGTAATATGCCTCTTTATTTAGTTTACTTTTGTAAAAGATTTATTGATTTATTTGAAAGTCAGAGTTACAGAGAGAGGAAGGGGGAGAGAGGGAGAGAACCTTCACTCCCCAGATGGCTGCAATGGCCAAGGTGGGACAAGTCTTAAGCCAGGAGCCAGGAGCTTCATCTGGATCTCCCACAGGAGTAGCAGGGGCCCTAGCACTTGGGCCATTTTCCGCTGCCTTTCCCTGGCCATTAGCAGGGAGCTGGATTGGAAGTGGAGCAGCCAAGACACAAACCAGTGTCCATATGGGAAGCTTAATCTGCTACTCCACAATGCAGGCCCTAATATACGTCTTTAATGAATGAAAAAGCTGAGCCCATGCTTAGAAGGCTATACTACATTTCTCTAAAAGATTAATCAAAATAAAGAAGTCATTGGAAAAAATAGCAGCAGCAAGTGAACAGGGAGCCCTGGCTCAGATCAGAATGCTGCATGTTTTACAAAGGGCACTGTTAAGCAATAAATCCACCCTCTGAGATATAAAATCCACAGTAGCAAATCCTACCTTTATTTATGAGTACATAAGGTAAAATATCAAGAATTAAAAGTGTTCATACCTGGAAACTGATGAATGCTGCTCTTGAAACCCTCTTAACTCGACTGAGTGGAGTCAAAGAGGGGTGCTTCCAAGTCAACAAAGTCTGTGTTTGGAAGACTGTCCTGCAGAGACAAAAATAGCTACTTATAATATATTTTTGTAATAAGAGACGGAAACATCTGCTAAGGGACATAATAAATATTTATTTAAATAAAATTTTCAGGGGTTGGTATGGTGTAGCACATGAAGCCACTGCTTGTGACAATGGTATCCCATTTAGGAGTGCCAGTTTGACTCCCCCCACTCTGCTTCCAATCAGAAGACCCAGTGCTTGGGTCCCTACCACCCACACATGGAAGACCCAGATGGAGCTCCATGATTGTGGTTATGGCCTGGCCAGCCAGCCCTGGCTATTGTGGCCATTTGGAGAGTAAATCAGCAAATGGAAGATCTCTCTCTGTCTCTCCCTCTCTTTGTTGCTGTGCCTTTCAAGTAAATAAATCATTAAAAAAACTTAAAAATAAATTATATGGGGATCAGGTATCACTTTTATATGTAAAAATGTATTATCTGAGCCAGATTATTAGCTCATAGAAAAATCACTGTCTTAGAAATCATATATAGGGACCAGCATTGTGGTGCAGTGGGTTAAACTGCTGCCTGCAATGCCAGCTTACCATATGGGTGCCAGTTCAAGTACCAGCTGCTCCATTTCCAATCCAGCTCCCTGCTAATGGGCCTGGGAAGGCAGCAGAAGATGTCCCAAGTCCCTAGGCCCCTGCTACCTACATGGGAGACCAGGATGAAGTTCCAGGCTCCTGGCTTTGGTTTGACCCGGCCCTGGCCATTGTAACTATTTTGAAAGTGAACCAGCAGATGGAAGTTCTGTCTGTCTGTCTGTCTCTCTCTCTGTAACTCTGCCTTTCAAATAAATCTTCAAGAAAAAAACTTATACATATGATATATAACCATATAACATACATAACAAGTAACATGTACATATAATTTTTAACCGCAAACAGTATTAATATCTGAAAGAAAAGATTTCTAATAGTAACATACATTACAGCAAATTAAAAGCAAACTTTTCACCTTTGACAATAAAATAAACTTTTTTTTTTTTTTTGACAGGCAGAGTGGACAGTGAGAGAGAGAGACAGAGAGAAAGGTCTTCCTTTGCCGTTGGTTCACCCTCCAATGGCCGCCGCGGCCGGCGCGCCGCGGCCGGCGCACCGCGCTGATCCGATGGCAGGAGCCAGGAGCCAGGTGCTTTTCCTGGTCTCCCATGGGGTGCAGGGCCCAAGCACCTGGGCCATCCTCCACTGCACTCCCTGGCCACAGCAGAGGGCTGGCCTGGAAGAGGGGCAACCGGGACAGAATCCGGCGCCCCGACCGGGACTAGAACCCGGTGTGCCGGCGCCGCTAGGCGGAGGATTAGCCTAGTGAGCCGCGGCGCCGGCTAATAAAATAAACTTCTTAACAATAACACACAAAGGCAGGCAAACAGATATCAAGACAGCTACAGAAGTCCTATGGCCCCTTTCCTGCAAGTGGCATCAATGGGATTTGCAAGAAACCCAAACAGTAGGAGTGGGCATTTAGCATCACAGTTAAGATGCACGCATTTCACTTCAGAGTGCCTGAGTTCAATTCCAGCTCCAACTCTGGACTCCAGCTTCCAAGCAAGGCAGAGGAGCAGTGATAGCTACAGTAACTGGGTTCCTGCCTTCCATGGGGGAGACCTGGATTGTGTTCCTGACTAGACCCCCACTCCCCCAGCCCAGCCCCCTGGCCATCTCTGGAATTTGGAGAGTGAACCAGCAGGTGAGAGCTTTCTGTCTTGTCTGTCTGTCTCTTTCTGTCTCTGTGTCTCTCTGCCTCTCAAAAACAAAACAAAACAGGGTGGGTGTTGTGTCACAGCAGGTTGAGCCACCCTACCAACATGGACATTCCACATCAGAGTTCATGGCTGAGACCCAGCTGTTTGCTTCCCACCCAGCCTCCTGTGAATACATCCTGGGAGGCAGCAGTTGATGGCTCAAGTATTTGGGACTTTGCCACCCATGTGGGAGACTGGGATGGAGTTCCTGGCTCCTGGCTTCAGCCTGGCACAGCCCTGGCTGTTGCAGGCATTTGGGGAGTAAATCAAAGACGTGAGATCTCTCTCTCTCTCTCTCTCTCTCTCTCTCTCTCTCCCCGTCACCCTGCCTTTCAAATAAATAAATAAAAAGAAACAAAGACTGGCTTTGATATAGACTACTCATTATTGTCTTCCATGAATCATCTAAAAAAAAAACCTGAAGTAACTTTTTAAAAACTGTAAAGTGGCAATTAATAATGGTATACATTTATGGTGTACAAAGTGATGAATATACTTCATGAATACAATGTGGAATAATTAAATAAATTAATTAACATATTCATCACATAAAATATCATTTTTATGCAGTGAGAACATTTCAAATTTATTTTGAAATGTACAAAATAATTAACCATATTCATCATACTCTACAAATGATTTCAAAAGAAAAAAACAACAAAACACTCAATTCCTCCTGTTTAACTGAGACTTTGCACCCTTTGACCATCATCTCCTTACTCCTCCCGGCTCCCTGCCTCCATTCTCCCCAGTTCATTCGACTACTTTAGATTCCACATATGATTCCACATATGATCAGAATATGTGGTATTTGTCTCCCTGTGCATGGCTTATTTCATTTAGCATAATGTTCTCCGTTTCCATCCATGTCACACATGACAGAACTGCCTTCTTTTGAAAGGCTGAATACTACTCCACTGTGTACATACACCACATTTTGGTTTACCCATTCATCAGCTGATGAACACTTAGGCTGATTCCATAACTTGGTTATTATGTATGGTGCTTCAATGAACATGGAGTATAATCTTTTACTTATTTATTTTCATTTGTATTTGAAAGGCAAAGGATCAGAGAGAGAGAGAGAGAGAGAGAAAGGGAGACAGAGAAAGAGCTTCCAGTTGCTGGATCACTCCCCAAATGCCTGGAACAGGCAAGCTGGGCCAGGCAGAAGCCAGGCGCCCCGCACTCCATCTGGATATTTCATGTAGGTGGCAGGGACCCAAGTACTTGAGTCATTATTTGCTGCCTCCCAGAATGTGCCTTAGCAGGAAGCTGGATCCAAAGCAAAGGAGCCAGAACTCGAACCAGGCATTCCAACATGGGATGTGGGCAGCCCAAGTGCCAGTTAAGCCATTGTGCCAAAATGCCCACACTGAAATAACTTAACTAAGCACCCTGAAAACACCACCAGAAAAAGCAGAATTGCTCAAATAAAATTTATATTAGTACAACAAATCCATCAAGGTGACCAGCATTGTGGCATAGCAGGTTAAGCCCCAGCTGCAACACCGGCGTCCTGTATGAATACCAGTTCAAGTCCTGACTGCTCCATATTTTTTTTTAAAGATTTATTTATTTATTTGAAAGTCAGAGTTACACAGAGAGGAGAGGCAGGGAGAGAGAAAGAAAGAAAAAGAGAGGTCTTCCATCTGATGGTTCACTCCCCAATTGGCCGCAACGGCCAGAGCTGCGCCGATCCGAAGCCAGGAGCCAGGAGCCAGGAGCCAGGAGCCAGGAGCCAGGAGCCAGGAGCTTCTTCCAGGTCTCCCGCACGGGTGCAGGGGCCCAAGGACTTGGGCCATCTTCTATTGCTTTTCCAGGCCATAGCAGAGAGCTGGATCGGAATAGGAGCAGCCAGCTAGAAAAGGGATGCCGGTGCTTCAGGCCAGGGCGTTAACCCACTGAGCCACAGCGCCGGCCCAGACCGCTCCATATCTGATCCAGCTTCCTGCCAATGCACCTGGGAAAGCAGCAGAAGATGGTCCAAGTACCTGTACCCCTGCCACCCACATATAAGACCTGGATAGAGTTCCAAGCTCCTGGCTTTGGTTTGGCTCAGTTCTGACCATTGCAGTCATTTGGGAAGTAAACCAGAGGTTGGAAGATCTTTCTGTCTCTCTTTTTCTCTAACTCTGCCTTTAAAAAAAAAAAAAAAAAAACCTCTGGGGCCACACCCCTTCATCTGTGGGGCCAGCATCCCATATGGGTGCCAATTTGAGCCCCAGCTGCTCCTCTTCTGATCCAGCTCTCTGGTACAGCCTGGGAGAGCAGTTTAAGATGGCCCAAGTACTTGGGCCCCTGCACCCATGTGGAGAGAAGCTCCTGGATCCTGGCTTCTGATTGGCCCAGCTCCAACCTTTGCAGCCATTTGGGAAGTGAACCAGTGGATGGAAGACCTTTCTCTCCGTCTACCCCTCTCTCTGTTTGTAACTCTGCCTCTCAAATAAATAAATTAAATCTTTAAAAGAAATTTTTTAAAAAAATCCTTCAACTACCTACTGTGAGAAGGTCTGAATTCTGGCAACTCAAACTATTCAAATAGTTCCGAGCCAGGTTTTTGGTCTGGTGGTTGAGACACAGCATCCCAAATCAATGGGACTGGGTTCAATCCTCAGCTGTGGCTTCCGACTCCATCGGCCTCCTAATGCAGTCTTGGGAGGCAGCAGTGATGGTTGGGTTCCTGCCACCCATGCAGAAGACTGCATGAGTTCCCAGCTCCGGGTTTCATCTCTGGCTGCTGTGGCCATTTGGGAGAGTCAACCCTCTCTGTCTCTCACTTTGTCTCTGTTTCCCAAATGAAAAACAACAAAAAATTTTTTTTAGCATTCTGAGCAGCAAACTATAGAGAAAATAGCCATGATAATCTGAGTATTTCAAAAAATGCAATGTGATTTCTTTTCATGATTGGTAAAGGTTATTTTTAAAAAAGGCATATAGTCTCTATAGCTGGGAAGAATGGGAGAAATAAAAAGAATTTTAAATAAAGGAACAAAAGCCAACTGAAAGCAAAAGGTGACAGAGGTGGGGAGCAGCAGGCCTCTGCCAGTGGATTACCACCGTTTTTAAGTGTTACATGTAAAGTACAGTAAAGAATAGAATGGACTATGAAAAGGAGTTTTAAGAAATACCAGTAATTAAAACAGTAGGATAGAATTTAGGGATAAACTAGGATTTTGCAGCTGAGGCAATAAAATGAATAGTTTCCAAGAACAACCCCTGACCACATGAAAAGCTCATCTT